TTAATGTGAAACAAACACAATTCAAATTTTCTCTTTGTATACTGATAGTTTCTACAACATAACAATCACACAAGGGAAAGAATGACAATAATACACCTCATAATATTCATCAGATATGAGTGCCATCCTGTGAGCATAAGGAATCTTTTCATTGTCATCCTTGCTTATATTGGTTACTGAATTCCCAACTGAGTACCCCTGCTTCAAATTTTATTTACTATTTTTTCAAAACTATTTTTCATGCTAATTAATCAATGCTTGAAACAAAAGTCGAGGCCTAATCAAAATTATAAGAATAACACTTTACTTGGAGAGTCATTCGTGGCTGATTTCCAGCTTCATTACCTGCAAATCAAGACCAAGGGCAGTATAATCCATTGTTTAAAACATAGGCATGAAAAAATAATAATAACAATAATAATTTAAAAAAAAAAAAGATTGTATTCGCTTATATTCTTTATAAGGCGCCACCTTTTGCTATTTCCACAGCTACCATGGGTACGATTTTGCCTCCATAAGAGTCGCCGGATATATAGAGGGGATTCTTGATAAACATAGAGTGAATCGAAAACCACTGCATTTTATTTTTACATTCGATATTAGCTCAAAAGATGGCCTTTTTCATAGGAATAAGTTACGTTTTAGTATAAATTAATGTTTTGGGTAATTAATTACCTTTTGCATGAAAGTGTAAATATCTTTGGTTGATTTAGTGTCGGACGAGTAGTAACCTTGGGACGTGGTTGAATATGAGAATCCAGTGCCGACAGGGGAGTCTATGAATATAATATTGGCAACCTATAAAAATACATATTATTCTATGTTCACAAACACTATACACGTTGAAAGATAAGCAATTAGGCAGTTTCGAACCTTTGTCCATGAATAAGGATTTAAAATTAACGATGGAAGGCTTCCATCGAAATTTTCAAGATCAAATGCCAATGGACCTGAAAAATTGGTGATACATAATAAAAAAAAAATGAAGAAATAGAAAACAATAATAGTAGTATTAAAAAAAAGAACCGTATAAACGAAAAGTAGTAGTAATGTTGATATCAACCCTCACAAGATTAACATAATATGGACTTCATCCGAACATTACAAGGTGAAAAAGACAATAGATAAAGGGGGAAAGGGCTAATATTGAATGTCTAACAAGTTTTAAAATGTCACTCAAAATTTCAAAACCGAATATCCGGTTTTTTCAATTTTCTTTTCTTTCTCTTTTTTCGAAAAACTAGTGAGTATCCCGTGTGATGCACGGTGGACTTATTTCTTAAAAGCTTTTTTAAAACTTTATCTTAACAATATATTAGCTTGCTAACCTTTTATATTAATAAATAATATTTTAATATCTATATTTTTCATGTATTATTTCTTTTATGGGTGATGAGTTTTATATACCACCGAGCGTGTGATGATGTATTAATCATGACATTAGATATAAAGCATGTGTTTGGTCAATAATGTTGTTATATAAAGAGGTCGGATGATTAATCCAATTTATTTTTATAAATAAAGCATATGTTTAGTTTATAATGTTGTTATACAAAGAGGTCGGATGATTACAGTATATAGAATCATCAAGTTACTTTAAAAAAAAATTAAAATATAGAATTATTTTGATGCCGTGAATATAGTAGGTGTACAACAAATAATTTAAAGAATTCTTAAAATATAGGGTTATTTTTAAATAATAAAAAATTTATTTTGTTATCTATATATTGAATTTAAATTTTCTGAAATAAATCGTGTGTTTGTTTAATTATGTTGTTATAAGGAGATTGGATTCTTAAACTATATACAATCGTCAGTTAATTTAAAGAATTCTAGGAGATTGGATTCTTAAACTATATATAACCCTCAAGTTAATTTAAAGAATTCTTAAAATATGATTCTTTCTAAATAATATATTTTTAAGATATATATGGAATGCTACATTTCTTATATAAAACGTGTTTGGTTAGTTATGTCCTTATATAAGGAGATTGAATTCTTAAAATATATAAAATCCTCATATTTAGGATTGTATTCATATTATAAAATTTGAATGACGGAATCTTTTACAAAATAGAATCTTCATATTTTATTTCGATTTCTTAGTGGTAATGTATTTTTCAGATTTTGAAGGTCATACTAAAGACTACACGAACCAGAAAACAATGACAAACTTAACCACTAATTGTGTGAATTAATGTGATTTATTTTTCTGTTAAGCAAAATAAAAATATCTGTACAAATTCTTTGATATTGCATAAAAATTATGGTTTAATTTTGGTTCATATTATTGTATGCAATTATTGGTTTAGGTTTTACAAGTAAATTTCGTGTATAACAAAAAGGATGTCTAATTGAATATGAAAGTGATTTTGAATATATTGCAAAAAAATTACTTAAAATCAGATACCAAATAGGATGTCTAATTGGATGTGAAAGTGATTTTGAATATATTGCCAAAAATTACTTAAAAAATCTCCAATTTAAAAAAATAATTGCCCATGTTTTGAGGAAGTAAGTTTACCACAATATATTTCTCAAATAACAAATTTTTTGAATTTTCAATTTGAATTTTCAAAGTGGCTGCCATTTTACAAAAATAAATTAATAAATAAATATTAACAATAGAAACTCTGAAAATTTTGAAGTGAGAATTTTCATTCTATTTTAACTAAATCCCTATTAGGTTACATCACTTTTTGGAAAAATGTTAATTCCAAATTTGTGACTGCAACTGGAATTTACCCCAAAATTGGGTGAAAAACAAGCAGACCATAATATTTCCACCTCGCTCCTTTAAATAGATGGCTGAAAAAAACCCACCGATTTCGTAAACAAGGCCGGAAAAACCCGAGCAGCCCGGCCCGCCGGTGAGCCAAAGCACCAGAGGGTCCCTTCGCGGGTCATTTTCTGACTCGATGAAGTAGTAAAACAGCTGAACCTCCTCGTTATCTCCAACGCCGATGTACCTGCTTCCACAAATTCGAACAAGAAAATCTTTAGCCCAAAAAAGAAAAAATGGAAATGAAGTAAACCGGGAAAAATTGTCTCTAAAAATCCGACCCGGTTTCGAGTTTGAAAGGCAGGTTTCCAGGGTAGCCCGGCAGGGTTTTGACGGTCGACTGCGAAAATGCCGGGTCGAACCGGATTAGGACGAGAAACAGCAGATAATGCAACCGGGCTCTCGGCATTTGAGGCCTTGCTTTCGCCATGTTTGTGCTTTCTTGAGCTTTTTGTTAGCTGAACAATGTGAAGTGCAGTATTTGAATAGATAAAAAGTGAGGGGTCATCATCGAGCAATCGTCCTCTTCGATTAGACAGGTCTAATTAATCTTGTACAGTACAAGGTACTTGTGTATACAATCTAAGGTCTCTTTTGCTTGTACAAATATTTGTGTGCACATGACATGCTTTCTCATGTGACCCACATTATAAGTGTTGCGCCCCGTTCATTCTAAGTAACACAAAACTCGATTTATTTAATTTAGCATAAATCCAATAATTATTAAATAAGCATATTAAAAATTGGATTTAGTCAATCATAAAAAAATGTATTCAAGTATTGTTTTGCCTTGTCAGTCATAAAAGCTGGGAGAGTCTGGGACTCACGGTACACTAGAGTGAAAATCCATCTCGAGACATTATGTGGTTTTTTGTCCTTCCCCAGACTCGAACCCTATATCTTGAGCATAAGGTGAAGTTCATGACAAGTCTGATACCAATCCACAGAATGGTACTAATTCACAAAAAACTACTCCTTATATGGAATCGAGTTGTTTACTATATAAAATTTTGGTTATCCAACCTCATTCACTTGTTATCATATTTTTACTTACAGAATTTTTCCTAACCCGTTATTACATATTTCGTAGAACAATATATTATCTAATCAACTACACCAATATCATTTGGAAAAAGTTTCATCACAAAAAAGCTGAGTGGAAATGAGATAAAGATCGGTTTAATATATTTAAACGAAGTCAAATTATTAAGACACTATGTAAATATGACAAAGTACAACATTTGATAGTATAATAAAAGAATCCAGATTTCAATTACTGAATGCTTATTTCAATATATAAGACATTAATGAATGCTTATTTCAATTATTATGCACTAATTTGTCTAGAGTGAGGATAAACGTATCCATCTTTCAAACATTGCAAGACATTCTTTAGGCTTGTACTCTGGAGCTGTATGACCTGCACCCTGCAAAAATTCACAAGCACCATAAATCATACAAACAAATAACTAAACAAATTAAAACAACACTTATAATTACTTCAAAACTCATAACATTTTTAAAAAAGAAGCTTGCCTTCACCGTGGCAAAAGTTATATAAGCCTCATTGTTCTCGTTGTTTTTATATGTCTCTGTACATCTGCAATGAACAATTTTATATATAAATTGTGAGGTTAATTTTTCACTATCAGTCGCCTTTAGTGTTTTCTGTGCCATAAAACAAATTCTCAGCAACAACAACACTAACCCAGCTACTTGATCATCTACAGTCCAAGACCTCCACGCGTTATCAATCGTGAGATTTAGTTCGCGTATCCATCTCAAAGTGCTCAAGTAAGGTACAGTTAGGTCATGATCACCGCTGTAAGAAATGTAACGGCTTTTAAGAACCGACAAACTCATTAATTTCTTGATCTTCAAGAAATTAACATGACATACTGAAGTCAATCTTGTGACATGAATTTTAATACTCATATAGAGAACAAAATTAATTAGGGTGATTCGACCGAGTCAACCCGGTGAACCGAGCCCGATCCGGTGATCCGTTCGAGATCAAGTGACTCGATCAGAATCGAGAAAGGCCAAACCCGTCAGCCCATCGAGTTTTGGTAATCAGACGATCTCCATCAAAGAAAATCAGAAACGTCTCTGAGTCGGCAAAACTTTTAAACAGTAATGTCCTAACCACTATAGATTCCGCTACGTTAGGGTTTACTTTGCATAATTCAAACGTGCATGTTGTTGTCGCTCATAATAGAACCCAACACGAACCCAACACAAACGTCTGGATCTTTACGACAGAGGCGATCACGAGAGCAATGGGGACCCCGACCCATCCACCGCGCCATCCCCCGTGGCCACCAGGCACAACGTCCAGCCCGCCATTGTTGCACTCGCTGTGGCTAGGTGTGGCCAGCGCCAGTCAAATCGTGTCTACTGCCGCAGCTAACGCCTCGAATAGACGGCCCAACGTCCCGATCTCAGCGTAGCGCCTGTCATTCCCAGTGTCATTTTGTTTAGGCGGTATGACTTAGGAATCATATCGCTGATACCAACTGATATAGTAAAGCGTAGAGACAAGAGCGATTCAGACGGAACTCTCGTTTTTTCTTTTTATATTCAATCAAGAACAACCAACCCTAAAGACAATAGAACTGGATACTTCTCTTAAGAGAGCCCCTACCAAACATAAACTTACTAACTAAATAAAAGACAAAAATACTTAAATAACAATGAAAATAAAAATAATAAATAATTATACTAATGTTGCCAAACGTTTATACTTGTCCAAGAAAGTCAATGCAATCTCATCTCCATCAAGTGTACTTTAATATAATCAGGACAAACCGTCGGGGTCATTTTAGTAATTTGGCCTATATAAAAGTTTAGTCGAATGAATATAGCTCTTTCAACGCACCTGTAAGCCAATGTTTGGAAGCATTTCTCATTCAGTAGTTGATGATCTCTAAGAACACTCTCCACATCGGCTTCATATCCTTTTAATTTTGTTGTTCTATTGCATTTTATTCGATCGCCTATCGTTAAAGTAAAATCAAAAATTGCATTTATTTCTCCTAATAGATACTTTTCTGATATAAAGAGCTTCTCGTACAGTATCATTGTCCATCCAGATGTTCGAGCTCAAATAATTATACCTCTGCTAAAAGAGAAGACATATCTACGTTGGGAAACTGTATATATGATAAGATCAGATGCAACCACAACAAAAGGAACATCACAACATAAATAAAAACATCAAATTGCAAAACATGGTTTTTGAATCTAGCCTAATAAGCAAGAGAGTAATACAATTCGCTTGGAAATAGGAAATCGACAATTATTTTAAGCAGAACTAAACTATGGGTTACTTATAAGGCAAAATTGTATTTTTAATCGTGCTTGTTTAATTTCATAGCAATTTTAGTTTCAAGATTCAAGCATTTCACTTTTTGGTCCTGCATTTTAATATTTTGCTGCAATTTTAGTCATTTAAGGACTGAAATTGCAACAAACTCTCACGTTACCAGATTTTCGATTAGCAATTTAGGTCCAGTAATTTAAAATTTCTTCAGTCATGTAATTTAAAATTTTGCTGCAATTTTGGTCTCAAATGACTAAAATTGCAGCAAAATATTAAATCACAGGACCAAAAGACGAAACGTTAGAATCTTGGGACTAAAATTGCTATGAAGTTAGGCTAACATGACTATAAATGCAGTTTTGCCTTCTTATAATAACATTAAACTACAAGGGAAGTCTTTGTTGATATAACTACAAAGAACAATGTCGAGAGAAAAAGGTAGGAGTGCGTCTTGTTTGGACAGAAAAAGGATGTCATCAACAGGATCATCAACTAGTAAGTCTGAGCCCCACTTATGATTATTAGGTTTCGGTGTGATGCATCTGGGCTCCAGAATATCATCCTCCCAGAGAAGATCCGTGCACTGCATTTATGATATTTGTACAAAGGAGAATCATTTTATTTTCTCAAGCAACCAGTTGACTTGACTGATACGTAAGAATTATAAGATAAGAGAATGTAACTTTATACCTGTTTGACAAGCTGAAGAGCTAACAAGCATAGTATATTTGTTTGGATCTGGATTCACATACTCATATGGATAATCTATATCTCTTCACATATCATATGGATAATCTATAACTCTAAGGATGAGTGACATTATTTTTTATATATTTTAGTACTGTGACTTTATAATTATTTTTTGTATTATATTAGTCATAGTTTCTTCAAATATTACCTCATTTTTAATATCTATGTTCACCATCTTTGTGGATTCAGCTCTTTCTTTTTCATTGAGTACATCTTTCTCTGCATGAGATCTCAAGCCTTCCAAGACCCTTGCTTGAACTTTAGGAATATCAAGCAACTGAAAAATCAACTCAACTGAATTAGTGAAAATAAACCTTGGGGTTTTATGCTCAATTGGGAATTGCATGTGCATGGCGGCATATCTGCCTTTTCAAGTAATTTGCACTCTTTTATAAGAAATTTTTCCTTGCTTGTTAGGACCGTGAATTTCAAATAGCTTCTTTTGTTTTAGTATTAAGATTTGTCATTCAGTGTTTTCTTCTAGTCACACAGCTCGAGCACGTATATGTATATATATGAGAACCCTTTACTATTCTCATTATCTTATGCTGCTTTCTTTCAGTTTTCAGAAGCTTGAATAGGATTCTATAGTATGCTTTCGTTTGAGATTCTAAAATATGTCCAATCTTTGTGTTCAGCATTATAAATTATAATAGCTATTTTCATCAACTAAAACAGTACACTATTTCGATATAGTAAGTGTAAGACTCAAGCAGTTTTCTGTCAGTAGCAAACTCAAAGAGAGCATCGAGTGTAATCACCTAGCATCAAGCCCTCTCAACTTTATCCTTGGTCTTGCAATGGACACAACATTGTTACAACATGTAACATGGTGGGAAAATAATAAAAATTAATTCATAGTTATATGCACACTTTTAAGAAATTTCAGAGTGATGGATTGTTTATCTGCCAATACTCTCTATAGTTCACTAATTATACTCTATCTTACTAAGAAGGTTTTATACTTAAATGACTTTGTAGGTAACTGCTAAATATCCATCTGTTAAGTACGTTGAACTTATTAGAGATATGTTTATGTTGATGGATATTAACGACGATGGAAAGGTAATATATAAGGAGTTTCAAACCATCTGCAAAAATTGAATATTTAGTTCACTTCATTTCTGGATGAGGACATCGAGACGACAATCTAGGTACACAATTATTCTCATAAGTTGGCCCTTATTGTGCCTCTACATACATGCAATTGTTTTTGTGGATGTTGTATTGATATCATTTGTTTCGAGAAGTTTGGCCTATGTGTCAAAATGTTGTGAAATCATTATAATTATATGTACATTTTAGTTGACTTTCGATTGATTTATTATAATATGGTTGGCCTGCCGGGATTTTTTTTAACTACAATGGCATTGTCAATACATAGCCAGTTGAACATTAATTTAGTGTTTTTAATATCTTAAAGATTCATATAGTTTGTACTAACCTTTTCTAGCAACTCCTTCCAACGATCTTTAATTTTCCTCTCAAGATCTTTCACTTTCCTTCCTTGTTGAGAGCTCAATTCCTTTTGTTTTCAAGCAATGTATAAGTTAGAAATCATTGATTTGAATTTTTC